AAACACCTCTTGTGACTTAATCAGGTGCAACAACATTACAGATCTTAAAAAATCCACTACTTGATGAAGTGAGTATGGCCACAGTTTCTTGCGAGAGGCTTGGTTGCTTTGTGCTTGCTTTGCATATTTGTCAAACGCATGTTCGATAGTATGCCTATGCAATGCCATAATCTTCCTACCAAATTTATCTTTTTCTCACTTTCTTGGTCTGTCTTCAGGTCTTTCATCTGTTTCATCAGGATCAGTAGGTGTTGCACTTTTAATATGGCAAAGCAGTGGATGTGACTTGATAATATCAGTGGCCAAAAGATTTCCATGAGTGTATGCCAAGTCAGCAACTAGTGCATTTGCATTCAACCTGAATTTTGAATTCTTAAAAGTGAAGTCCTTGAAGACCAATCGATAAAGCTTCTGATAATACCAAAGCATACCATCCATCGATAAAAAAGTCGGATGGTACACAAGCAGCCTCTCATCCGATGGATGCTCCAGTTTGCTAATGAGGTCCCTTGGCTTTGCTAAAAGTTGTGAGATAACATCTAGACCAACATTTTCCTTCAGCAACTCCACCATCAGACTTCCAACAGCAGCATAAGAGGCTACACGATTGCACTCACTTACCCCAGGCTCCAAATCATCAGATATAATTGACTTGAACATGAGTTGCTTTAATCTTGGACATATAAGCAGGTTATCTTTACTGAAAGACCTCTTGATGCAATAGCCCCTATTGTTATTGGCTAATGCAAGCAGAACTAGATTTTCAAATAAGGGTATGTTTGTATCCTCTAAGAGATTGTACCTAGCTTTGTGACCAAATCCTGCTATTTCCATATTCATGTGGTTTTGCCTGGCATCATCCACAAGTGAATGGTGCTCCAAGTACTCAGTCAATTCTACCCATACCTCTTCTGGTGCTTGAGAATCATCCCTAAACACCAACTGGCTAACCAGGAGGAGGCCTATATGGATTTAACTTCTGATGAGATGAAAATTTTCTCTGAGAGAGCAGGAATGGGGACTGGGGTTGAGCTCACCTTCCTTTCACCTTCCAGCTTGAGAGGGCACACATGCTGTGGGTCCGGAGTTGAGATGCGCGAGTACCACCGGAGAAGATAAGGGTGAGGTGTGCATGCTAATAGAACCAGCGGGCGTCGCCGGAGAAGGTAAGTGAGAGGTGCATGAGCTAATGGAAGCAGCAAAGCGTCATAGGAGAAGGTAAAGGAGAGCTACTCGCACTCATCAAAGCAGTGGAGGGCATCGAACACGGCGAGGTGGGGCAATGCGGGTGAAGCGAGGCGGCACCGACTTGGGTTAATAGGAAGTGAGTGGGTGGCGTGGGAATCGAGGTGGCGGCAACTTGGGAGAGGATATGGGTGGGGTCCACAAGGAGGAGGCGATGGCAGAGCAGTGCAACCATGGCGAGATTGGGTGTAGGGTCAAGATGGCGGACTAGAGAAGGGGTGAATAGTCATTTCTAAAAATAAATCACACCGGCTAACCGAAATAAATGCGGAATTAAAACTACCGGTCTAGCCAAGACTACACCCCTCTATTTATATTCTCAAGCATCTTACAAAGATCCTAATTTTAGCAACTAAGGTGCTGGGCTAGTTAGAGCTCATCTAAACAATTCTAGTTAGCAAGGTCACACAAACCAATGCAACTAGTACTCGAATAACCGGGGAGCTCCTACACAAACTAGTATGCAAAAGCACCAAGCCTAAGCTCACTATCAATGCTCAATAACAAAGGCTACACAAGACAAATTAGAGAGCTCAAATTACTTAGCTACACAAATTAAGCAATGTAACTAGCAAGGCTACTCAAACCAACTAGTTACGCAAGAGAGCTATTTCTAATCTACACAAGCAAAGAAAGCAACTAGCAAGCTACTCAAGCTAACTAGTTACAAGAGCAACTATATAAGCACAATATATAAATAAATAGATACAAGCTTGTGTATGGAGATTGCAAACCAACGGGAAGATGATGACACAATGATTTTTATCTCGAGCATCGGTGGTTTTCCAACCACTTAATCCCCATTGAGACAAGCTCTAAGGTTGCCACCGATCCTCTTGCTAGTGGTGACATGCAAGTCACACTCTCCCATGTGGAGTGCTTACCACAAGCTCTAGCACTTTGACATGGACGGACCACTTGTCTCCCTTCATGTCTCACTCTACTAGAGTTGCTCTTCGTGGCTCCCAAGAAGTGAGCACAACACTCCTCACAATCACTTCTTCGAGCACCACACAAGCTTCTTTGTGTGCTTCGACAAAGACCATGCCACCAAGCTATTTAGGAGGTGGCAACCTCCAAGAGTAACAAGCACCACTGGCTTGTATCTCGATCACCTAGTGCCACTCGATGTAATCTCACAATGCAACACACTAGAATCACTCACTCGTAATTGGATGTAATCACAATGCGCACAAGTGAGTTAGAGGGCTCCCAAGCACTCTCAAGCTTGGACACTAAGTCCCCCAAGTCCCCTAAGGCCGAGCACCACCTCTATTTATAACCCACAAGCCAAATAGAAGTGTTACTCTCTTAGAGCTGATTTCTGCGTGGGCACCGAACAACACTGTGTCACACCAAACAGGGGGTGGCGGTGCCCCAATGGTCGAATTACAATGGCTAGTTTGAACTAGCCGTTGGGTTGTCTAGCACCGAGACAGCAGGGGGCGATGCACCTTGCTAGGCATGGTGGTGCCCTGCGGTGGCCAAACTCATTTTCTCCCCTCTCTGGATAATTAGAGTGGTGCCATCGAACAAGGGCTGGCGATGCCCAACTTTTCTAAGCCCCGAAGTCATCAACCTCTAGAAAATTAGGGCTGGTGCCCTGGCAGTGGCACCTTGCATGGGGTGGCGGAGCACACCAGACATGGCGGTGCCACCCTACTCACAAACGTCGTATTGGCTGCATGTTAGGTTGCTTTTTCGACCCACGGACAACCCAAACATCTCTCTGCAAGCGATGCTAACTCTCAAAATGTTTTCTCAAACATGTTTAGAGCCAAGTTAGCATTTCTAAAAAATTTTTCATAAACATTTTTGCTTGCTCTTACCACACCACACTATCCTAGCAACATATGCAAAGTTAGGTCACTTGAGTGGCACTAGATGATCGATATATAACAAGTTTGTCCCTCTTAATAGTATGACCATCTATCATAAATCCGGTCATGCACTTCTCTACACAATCTTTGACCGGTGAAATAAAATGCCATATAGTTTATACATTTGCCTTGCGCATTCCATTCCATCTCCTCCAATGTTGATCCTACACAAGCACCAATCTCGATCAACAAATGATATGATCCACTTCATATCATCATGTAACCTTATTGGTTCATCGATCTTGATCTTACTTGCTTTTCACCATTGCCTCAGTTCATCAACGCTAAGTCTTTGCTCAAGCGTCCCTGCCATGCGGTTTATTGCTTCAAAGCCTCTAACTTGCCCTTCATGCTTGCAACCGGTCCATCAAGCCAAGCCTCATCTTGATCTTCTCCACCTAGTCACATGACTCTATGTCATGTCTCATATGCAATGAGCTCCTTCATTACATGTGTGAGCTTTGTAACATATCCAAGCAATTTTCACCTCTATAACATGTGTTGCTCGAACAAGTGTACATGTAGACTAATCACATGTGTATCTCATATAAACACATGTTACTCCAACTAGGTTGTCACTCATTACCAAAACCAAATAAGGACCTTTCATCGGGAGACAATATAGGAAAACAGGGTGGGCCATCAGGAGACATTCTGTTCATCCGATCACCCCATTAGTTATTTTTTTGAAACAGCAAAACGGTTGAAGGGAGCAAAATCTAACTAGGTTAATAGTTGAACTAGATCAATAGTTGTATTGAAACCAAAGAGCAGATGGTCCTAAATAACCTCATTAGCCTATTACCTAGCTGAAAACAACAAGGTAAAAGTCCATCTTTCCTCTCTAAACTATCGTTGTAGCCTGATTTTTCTCCTCAAAGTTTAAAACTAAACATCTTACTCCCCATGTACACTCAAAACCATTCAAATTACCTCCTTCCCCTGGCTTGAAGTGGTCTCAAAGGCGGTTTTGTACCTTTTTATAGTTACAAAAATCGATAAATATTTGATAAGAATTTTAAACCACATAAAATGCCTTTAACCTTCTAAAACTTCTAATTAAAATACTAGAGATAAGCTAGGATACGATGAACCCAAATAAAATATTTAGAGCTCATGAAAATATATTTAGAAGCTTCTAAATGTGGTGTGAAAAATGGAGGAAAATATCCAAAAAAATATTAAAAAATATATGTTGAAGCTTATAAATTTAGCTATTGGAAAATGGAGAACATGTCCAAAAAATATTTAAAAATCCCAAACTATTGAAATCAACATCTAAATGTGGTGTAAAAAACTTTTCATAGCAAAAGTAAGAGATGCAACCAACATGTATGCAACATATATTAATAGTGAAAGCATTCATGCTAGTTGCATCTTATGTTTTTGTTAATGTTTTGGGTATTTTTCTAGAATTTTCTGAATGTTTGCCCATCTTACTAGGGTCTGGAGATATTTTTCATGAACTCTAAGATATTTATTAGTTGGATTCTTCACATCCAAATCTTTATCTAGGATTTTTCTCCGAATTTTTAGAAGCTTAGAGACATTTTATATGGTTTAAAAGTCTTATTATGTATTTACTAGATTTTTTAACTAACAAAAGGATAAAAACGACTTTCAAAAGCACTTCAAACCATGGTAGGGAGGTAATTGTAACATTTTTGCAAGTTTAGATGATAATAAGATTTCTGGTCGTAGAGTTTGAGGAGAAACATTAGACTACAACAATAGCTAAAGGGAGATCAAATAGATTTTTTCTTTCCAAAACAACAAACAACCAACCGATGCCAAAGCCAGCGAAGGCCCAAGAGGAGTCGGTCATGATGGCCAACCCGTTTTGCCGTTTCCAGCGATGCTACTAGGCCTGGATTTCTAGGCCCAACCAAGCACGCCGGCCCACGAGTGCACCTGAAGCGGCGCACGTTTCAGTTTCACTTCCAGTTCCAGGCTCTCGCGTTGTTTCGTCTCGTCTCGTCTTCCTCGTGCCTCGCGCACTCGCCGCGCCCGCAGCACTCTCTTCTTGCCTTTTCTGCTCTCGGCTGCATCGATAACACTCCCCCTCCCGGCTCCCGTACGCAGCCCCGGAGGTCCCCAATCTCGCGTCGCGATGGATTCGTAGCCTCGCCTCGCGAGGTAGTACTGTTGTTCTTTCAGGGATAGATAGGTAGATAGATTCCGACTGCTCGCCATTGGGGCTGCCTCCGCCCGGTGCCGTCCGTCTCTTCGGCGAGCTGTGGGCGGGGCGCTCCTCGTCCTCCTCACGATGGGGGGCTGGAACCGGTCGCGGTACGTGACGGGCCACCGTGACCGCTCCGCCGGCGCTTCGCGTCCTCCTCGGCCTCCGCCTCCGCCTGATTACGGTACGGACGGATTCCTCCCTCCTCTCTCTGAACCCGATGTTCCGATTTGGGTTGTATCGTCCGTAGTCTCTTAGGTTGCGATCGGGTTTCAACTCGTTCGATGTCTAGATCTACTCCTCGATTCTTTGTTGGTCAGATGATTTGGACACTGATTGAAGCTCGGAATCAGAGTTATTACCTGTCACTCTAGGCTTGCTTTCTCATGTGTACGGATTGTTCTTTCCATTGCGCATTGAAATGTCAGAAAAAAAAAATGCTATCTTTGCGTGGCTATCACATCTGTTGGATTGGAGGTAGAGGCATTCCTTTTTTGGGGAATAGGAATTGATTGGGAGGGCACTGCAATTGCAAGATAGCAGTGTTGTACAGGTGGGGATTCAGATCATCTGTTCTAGGAACAGTCTAGTCTGCACAGTGCATATAGAATTTTGAAGATGCATGGGAGTGCTATTCTCTGCTGTTATATACCACGTCGACTTCAAAAATACTGAATGCCCGTTGCACGCCATGGATTCGACGGTTGGGATCTTCCGGATCCATGGCTCACTTTGCGCCATCTTTGATTTCTATACTTTGTCCTTTTGCGCACTTTGTCGTAACGCCTAGTCGATTGGCTTGTTCTGATTAAGTAACCGATGTCCGTTGGAATACTGGATACGCCTGCCAATGGAATTATTTGCTACTATTCGTCCCACTCATTGTGTTTGTAAATTTTTTCTCAAGCAATCTGACCTCAAAGTTTGTGATCTCCTGGAAGACACATGTTCACTTTCTTCGTACTAATTATATCATTAAATACATGACACGATGAGTCCAGTTGTGTAGGAGATATAGACTTGCCTTTAGAAGCAATGCTGCCATTTTAGGGTCAAACTCTTTTGGCAAGAATTATGAACGCGCCCTTTATTTAGCATGCCATGTGTGTTGTGTAATTGAAGGGTGGGCCTGGTGCAAGCGGTAGAGTCTTACCGCCTGTGACCAGAAGGTCCCAGGTTCGAGTCGCGGTCTCCTCACATTGCACAGGCGAGGGTAAGGCTTGTCACTGACACCCTTCCCCAGACCCCGCACAGAGCGGGAGCTCTCTGCACTAGGTACGCCTTTTCTTATGTGTGTCGTGTAATTGTCTAATGTTTCCTGCACACCTTTGATTCATATGAATGAAAAGGAAATGAAAGACGATTCATACAATTAATGGGTTCATATCCTATCTCGAGTGTTGTATGAGGGCATATCATTGTGAGCCTGACTTATGAAATATAAACACTTTACAGCTATGGGCTCAAAAGCTAGTAATCCTAGAATGTTGGGTTATATGTATCAACAACAACAACAACAAAGCTATGTTATAGCCTTTAGGGATGTGATTTTGGTTTTAAGGTTGGCGTTTTCTTTATTATTATTCTCGATAACCACAGGATTCATAGGAGCTACTTTGGATTGAGATTAAATATGAGTAAAACAAAAGATTGACCACAAATAATGTAGTATTATGTTGCCACATAACAAACACAGGAGCTACTCTGGAGGGCATATCTGCCTAGAAGGCACCTTGAATGACCACACAATAGCTTCTAAATTTATCTTTTGTTTTGGATGGATTCAGATGTTCTCCTCTGTGGTCGTAAACATGGAGGATTGTAACAAGCTTTATCTCTGGGGTATTCAGCTTCTACACGGTTACTGAACTAATTTGAAAATTTTGATAAAGAAAAGGCATTTTCTCTTCCAGGTTACTTGAACTAATCCTAAAATTTCAGTCTGATATCTTCCAAATCTGCACAGTGGAGCTATAAGAGAATTCTATTTATGTTTTCTTTTTCTTCCACTCTACTGAATCTGAATGCAATAATTTAGGGAATCTTTTGCCTTTCCGTGTTACCGTGCTGCTACCATTAATTCTTACACTCATATGTGCAGGAGACGGTCACTACCCAGTCCCATTATGGGAAAGGGAATTCTGCCGCCACGTTGGCGACATTAGTTGGGAGAGGTTCTGTGAAAACAAGCAATATGTTGGACCATTCCATAAACATGAGCCCTGGGATGATTCGGAGGCATTTGATTGTTTCCAGAACGCAAAGGCAAGGTTCTGGGCGAACTATCATGGCAAGCCTTGTGACATTCCTTTGCTGGACGACCCTGATTTGTACACCGACAAGGTCGACCACCAATGCAAACTCGACCCAGAGTTGGTTGCTGAGCTGGATAGTGTAGGGTTACCATTTGAGGATGATAATTCTGCCCCGGCCACAGGATGGGCCAACGCCGGGGCAGACAACAAGTGCACCCAGAACGGATCTGGAAACTGGGATGTCTTTATAGAAAAGCCGGCTGAAGTCAATAAGTGGGACTATGGGGCCAATCTTGCACCCAACACGACTTGGGGAGGCCAGGCCAATGTAGTAACACCTGAGGCTGTTTGGGGAGGCCAATCTTCCAATAAATGGGGCAATAATAGCAACACCAGCTGGGGCGCTCCTTTGGAAAAGCCGAGCTGGCGTGACTGTAGCAAGAACCACTACACACCCAACAACTGGAACAACAACTTTCATATCGGACCATCCAACAACAGGTACCGGCAGCCGGAGGATCCGAGCTACACTTCTGGGTCTGGAAGGAAACGGAACGGCAGTGGCGGTGGGTACTTCAAGCAGAGGAACCAGGCCGAGGGACAGCAGCAGAATTGCGGCGGCTGGCAGCAAGACCAAAGAGGAAGGAACAGGCAGTGGTGTCCGGTGCACAACAGAGCTCCCTAAATTGGTCCGGACTCTTGATCTCGTGGAGAGAATTGCAGGTGTCTTCTTTTGTGCAGTCTGCTGGCAAAGTGGTGCCTGTAAATAGATGTTTGTTTGTTTGAGTTGTATGCTGCAGCTGCTGCCCTTCCGCAGCTGCGGCCTCAGTTTACTTCTGGAGTTCTGGTGTAATGTTAGTATTATGTTATACTGTTAATTAATGTGGGAGCGTGACAGTTCGGTGCAAAGATAGTCCATTTCTAACTCTGTTCATCTTCTCAGGGCACCCGCAATGGGTGACTCAAGCTAGCTTTAAGCATTCTTTTCATATTTTAATAGAAGAGAGAGAAAAATTAGCTCTTTACCAAGAGGTAGGCTCATATACACATTCCAAGATCACATGACAATATCATGTGGGGCTATCCATGTTATGAGTTATATGTTAAAAGTTAGCATTATTGAAGAAGTTGATTTAGGTTCTGTTCACTTCGCTGAAAAAACAAGCCGAAATATTGTTCCGGCTGATTTGTTGTGAGAGAAAAACACTGTTCTAACTAAAAAATCAAACTGAAAAAGACGAATTATAAGAGAAGCGAACATGGCCTTAAAGCCAGCAACAACTTTATACCATTACGGGTGTAGAACGTGCTGACTTGGGCTTTTGATTTTGACCCTGTTCGCTTATGAGCCGTACTATCTCAGCGAACGAATAGTGTTTTCTCTCACAATAAATCAGTGAACAGTATTTTCAGCTATGACTTTTCAGCAAAACGAACAGGACCTTTATTGAGAAAGCAGTTTTTTTAGAGCTGAAATCCTTTAAAAGTCATTTATCCGAATGGCTTCTGGTGGAGGGTACGACCACGGATACCCATGGCAGACCACATGGGCTACGCCCCCAGGGGCGGCCCAGCCCACAAGACGAAGCCTTGCGGGGCACAACGCTGCCCGGCGTCTCCCGTAAGACACCAGGAAGATATTCTAAAGATACTACGAGATATGTTAGCATACGTATGATCCCAAGATTCCTGTAATATGTTATTACTTTCCGGTTATCTCTCAGATCTAACCGACTTGTAACCCTACCCCCGGACTATATAAGGCGGGCAGGGACCCCCTCCAAATTCACGCAATATCATACGATAGCCAATACAATCCAACAGACCACAGGAGTAGGGTATTACGTCATACTGACGGCCTGAACCTGTCTAACTCGTGTGTCTCTGTTGCCTTCTTGTTTTTATTACACGCCTCTCTGCCGATCAATCTACCTTCGTGGATACCCTCGGAGGACTGTCGACGATATTCTGTCGACAGTTGGCGCGCCAGGTAGGGGAGTGCGTGCTGTTTCTATATCGAACAAGATGATACTTTCTGCAGGCTCTTCGTCCCTCCCGCAGCCCGGCCAGATCTTCACGGTTGGATCGATCTCGCGGATCATCAACGCTGACGGAGTCAGAGAGCTCATCGAACCGGTGCAGATCGATTCTGCGCCGATCACCCCAGCACCTACGATTGCAGATCCGATCTTAGAACCGCCTTCGAGGTCGCCTTCATCGACAACTCGCAGCCCGCTTCCTCGCTACCAGAGGAGGTAGATCAACAATGACGATCTGATCGCATCCATCGATCAGATTGGTCTGAAGCTCGCCGATTGCCTCTCCATCGTCGAATCGGCTCTGGACACTCTGGTTCAGTGTCGACCACCCTCCGATCTAGATCTATCAGAGGCTGCTCGGAAAACTCCAGGGGTTACGGCCCTACCCTTCGGGTTCACCAACGTCGCCGCCACTTACCAAGATGCCCTAAGGGGCAAATTCGCCGACCAGGTTGGAGATATCCATCCTCTTGCCGACTTTATCGGCTGACCAGCCTCCGTCGGCCATCAACATGCTGCACGTCGGCCGACGCCCCGGAGCATCCCTCCAAACCATCCTGGAGGAGAATCCGGACTCCGAGTCCTAGGGCTCTACAGAGACTGTCGCCGAAACCACCACCGAACTACTTCCTCTCCCTCCTTTCCGTGGTGGCGCAATCTGCAACGTCAGCGTCGACAGCCCCCTCAGAACGGCGAAACCGAGGAGGAACGCACCGCTCG